ATAAACACTCAAGCTAACAAACGTATTTACCAGAGATAGTGTACGTTTCACCCCACGTCAAATGAAGAAGACATAAAGCCCACAGATATTGCAGTAAACATAAAGAACATATGAAGCCCTGGGACCCATAAATAATACAGAAAATAAATAAAGAACTCACTGTGGTTTATTAACTATGAATAGAATTCTCCTCCTTTGTTGGGTACCACTTTTCCACTGGCTCCTAAAGTTTTCCAAACTCAGTGCCACCCCCTGATTTGAACTCCATTCAGAAGGTAGATAAACTCAAGGCTATTCAGGTTGTGTGAGGCCGGATGCGTAGATTGGAGTCGTCCTTGTGAAGATACAATCAGGTATCTCTACAAGTGCTTCAGCGTATATCTCTTCAGTAGCCACAGATACTGAAAACCCAAAAAGGAAACTGCTCACCACCAAAATCCTGAACCAACATGTGGTGCAGCATCAGAAGCAGCTATGATTTTTGTTAGGGGAAATGACACTGAAGAAGTTACCTTGAGAATATATAACTATGGACATCTAGCCCTTTCTATCTGGCCTGTAACTAGAATCTACATGTATTTTCTGCCCCTTTTAGAATGTGAGCTCATTGAGAGATTTGCACATAAGAGCTTCATAAGTGTTTTTTCATTCATTCATTCATGTCATTCTACTACACAAAAAATTATATCAACCCTCCTCACCCCACCTCACCTGCCTCTTATTATAGCAGTAGGGCTTAAAGGGTGACCTTTGCGCTCAGTAGAATATCCTAGAAGATGAAGTCTAATTTGTCTGGTTTGGATAACCATGGTTTTTTGCCAATCCCGTCAAATAATTTTTCAGAGTTATGCAGCTTTTGTGTCAGTGATCTCCTTGAAATTCTCCTTCAATAACCCCAAAGCTTCTCATCCCCCATTAAGAGAAACTCTAAAAAACCCAGAAGCATCTGTATGTGTGCATGTGTGTGTGTCTGTGTCTATGTCTGTACGTGTGTGTATGTGTGTGTGTGTGTGTAAACTCCCTGATAATTTTCACTAACCTCACTGATGTTCTTCACTTCCTAAAAACATGAATTAATCATTATTTGCATATCCATCATTAAACAAAAGCCAATTATTCACAAGACCACCAGACAGTTGGGAAAAATTACCTCCAAAAGATTATGAAAGAGCATAATGTTATAGTTTACCAGAAACCAAGGAAACCCAGGATGACCAAGCAGCTCTTTTTCTCCTTTCTTATCCTTTCTTCCTTTGTGGTGAAGCAGAATATAATGCCCTTAAGGTTTTTTTCACTATATATGTAGATGTGGAGAAGAAATGAGCTGCTCTTATCAAGGTTTGGGACTTGTACAATTAAAATGGTTAAAGTGAATTTGTTGATCTTTTTAAATGCAACATTTCTATACTGGGAGCATCAACTTAAATCAGCTATTTTACCATAATATAATTCAACAAAATATTGTTTTAGTCATAAGAAAATTCTATAGAAGGAAGCATACTGGATGAAGTATTGCTCATGGTGTAATTTTAATTCTAAAAAATCTTGCTAAGAGGGCTTATTTAAATAGGCTCTCTCTGAGATGAATATTTAGGGAAAAAATTCCTACAGGATGATTTATAGCAAAATTATATGAACAGAATGAAGGACAGAAGATTTTTATTAGAAAAGGGTCTCATTTCCACAAAATATAAATTATACCTTTTAGAAAATATATTGAATTTTATTAATATTCTGTAGACAGCCTGAAGTGTTAATCTCCACCCATACCTATAAGATTTTCATTATGATGTACAAGGTGTATTTACCCTTTAACCAAATAATTTTTTGAGCAGCTCAGTGGAGCCTTGACTTAACATTTACACACTTTACAAAATATTTTCACTTTAGCCACAAAATATTGTTGAATATTTTGGATTATTAGTAACTTTTAATGATGTCACTATGCATACATATGCAATAGATTATTTTGCTATAGCATATAGGTTTTGTGCATATATCTATTAATGGTGAACTTACTTTGCATCACATCTAAAAAGAAAGCTTTTCCACACTTCCCTCCCTCCCCTATTTCTACCATCATTGGTATTATTCAACTATTAGTGGTATTATTTATTTTTTTAATGCTTTTGGAATAAATTTAGATTTTTTCTTTAGACTATAGATAAAGTAATAGCATTATTGTAACTTGAAGGTATAAACAAAAATTATATAACATCAAGGATTCTATTTATGTCTGCCATGCAAAAAAACCTAATTTGTTAGTGATATATTTTTGATGAGTAAATGGATTTAAGATACTTCAGAGTACTGGATATAAAAATCTTTCCAATATTCTCTCCTACAATTATGAGTCTTTTTATAAAATAAATATTGGAAAGCATAGATAGATAAGTTACACATTTGTGATGGAATTACCATCATCCAGGACTTACTGGCTTAGTAACCGTACCAGTGGAAAAAGGATGAGGCTTGGGAGTTTGAGGTCGGGTTCGTTTGACTAATAGCTTCGCTTATCAAATGGCTGTGCATATTTTCAACACTTCTGCAATGAACAATTTGCAGTTGTAGAGCAAAACATAACCAATGAGAAAGAAGATTTATTATTGAAATGCAGTGTCAAGTCATTGACTGATACTCCAGAATAAGCAAGGGAATAGTTCAGGTAAAGACAGGTGTGTGCTGGGAAATGTTCAACAACTGGCTCTCTGAAAATGAATGAATTACTTTTAAGTTTAATTCACATGATTAATATTTTCTCTAGAAGTGTTCTCTAAACATTTTCTGAAGTCTAGACATTCAAGAAAACAATCGATTGAGTCTTGATATGTGGGGTCTACCACTTTCTGAGATTTTTAAATGATCATACTGAAATTTTAGCAATTGACTCTCATGAATCATTATAATCTAGCTCCAGCACCCCCTTGGGGAAAGGCTACTAATTTAAACTTTTTTTTAATTTCTAGGGACATCAATTTTTAGTCTTTTTTGAATAGCTTATCCAAGAGAATTCATTACAGGAAACTGTATAATTAGAGACAAATATACTAAGGGCTGAGATACAGAAGAGCAATTAGGCTTTTTCTACTTGGCTCAGTAAAGACACAATTTGGACCAATAGATGGAAGTCACAGGAAGCATATTTTTACATAACATAAGGGAAAACTTCTTAATTATTTAGGGCTCTTTTTAAAACATCATAGACATGAAACTGTGAGTTCCCCATCACTGGTAGTCTTCAGGTAAATTCTAGATCATCATGTATATGAAAAGTTTAAATAGGAATCATACTATAGGTGGAGATTGGATTACATGCAAGCTGAAATTCCTTCCAATTTAGCAGTTCTAGGGTTCTATGCTTTTACCTTAGAATTATGAAGGCTTTAAGTCCCTTTTGCATTTGTACTCCTGATCTCCAGAAGTATGCTTGTCAAACCAATCAGCAAACTGGTTGATGAAGGCCCAGATGTCAACTGTGCACCATCATCTGTCACTATATCTAAGAGTAGGATATGATCTATGAAAAACATATTTCAATATTTTAATGTAGTTATGATCCCATCAGTACAGATAATACTTTCACCAGTGAATATTATAATTCATTTATGTCTTCTCATCCTATGTAATTCTCATCCATGTTTTGCACAGACTTTCTATAGAAGACCTTTCTAGCATTCTGGAGCCCTTCTTCTAGGTATTTCTATTCATATTTTGTGAATACCAGTGTAACAATGATATTTTCATCTGTTATCCCCCAAATCTTGCTGGATGATCATTTTTAATTCCTTAACTTCCTGGATGATATACTTTATGCTCCTTTTAAGGGATATTCTCAAAATAAAAAAAAAAACTTTATTTATTTTTATTATTTGTAGAATTCTAAAATATTCAAATTCATTAACAATTTTGTGTCGTATTTGCTGCCAATATTCAAAAGGATTTTGGGGGGAAAGTCTCACTTTTAGACCACTGGTTGCACGCTTTTTCTTTGGTTTGGTTTGGTCTGGACCTGTGTCTGGGGGTCTTCTGGGGTACAAACTCCTCCACTGATGGAGATCAGTAACTTCTCTATAACTTGTGGTTTTAGAAAGTTGCCTGTAGCACTAAGAAGTTGAGTCACTTGCTCATGGTTGCAGTTGTCCCTAAAAGAAGATGTGGGTAGCAATAGGAAAAGATGATTTTTCTAATTGGTACCTATTAACCTATAAAACACCAGCATCACCCTCTAATGATTAAAATAATACTTCATTTTGGGCCCATTCTCCCAACTCTCTACATATACTAGCAGTTATGTCCTAGAGGGCAGCTAACAGCTGCTCCCCTCAGAAGTCTAGGGGTAACCTGAAGGGTTGTATTTAATAATATTATCACATATGACATCCCGCCCTCTTGTGTGAAACCCCATAATTCAACTACTGACATCTCCCCATTATCAACCAACCAGGAGACATTAATTAATTTTTATCAGAAGATATTTACTGAGAAGGCATAGTAAGAGCAATAGTTACCAAATAATATACCTGAACTGAGGGATATACTCTCCTTTTACACACACACACACACACACACACACACACACACACACACACACACATACACACAGCCTGGGTAAAGTAGAATCAAATTTAAAGCACAAAGACAGTGATGCACATGTATCGAGAGCATGTGGGGCTGAAGGGTACCTTACACTCCTGGACCTGAATGTCCTTTTCTCCTCTCACACAGTCTATACCAAACTTGTTTCTGGGTGTGGTGTTGCTAATGGATAGGTCAACTCCTTGCTCAGTTAAATTGTCTATTTGTAGGGTGCAGTGCCTCAGTTGATAGGTCAATCCACCAGTGGACTTGGTCAAACAAGTCACTACTCAAAACTGGTTCCTCACTGGACCCATCTGCCCCTGCTACCAGTTCTTGCGGCCCCTACTTTTTACTTTGGTTATATGGCTCTTCCAACCTTTTGAAAGCTTGCAAGGTTATAGCACAGTCATTTCCATCTCCAGGTACTCATTCACCTAAGTTCAAGAAAGAAGAAATGCGACAACAACAACAAAAAACAGGTACCACATGCTCAGAGACACATGGCAGCCAGGTGAGAGATTCTGAAGCCTACCCTTCCCTAACCAGCAGTTCACAACAATCCTCACCTAAAAGTTAACAGGAAAAAGAGTGAGAGATCTTCCTCTTAAAAATCTTCTGTATCCACTCTCAATTCCGGCTTATCATTTGCTGAGTCATTATTTTTTCTGGCTCCCCAGTCAATCAAAAGACTTTACACAACCACCAAAGTAGCATCCCCTCAGGCTCTCATGGACAAAAATTGGCTTCCTAAGTTCCACATGTCAGATTTGCAGTAGGTAGAACATTTTGTGTATGTTCTGTAGAACCTACCAGAAAGACCACACTCTGTAGATATTCTGCCCTAATTGGCCAGCCCTCTCACTGCAATGGAATCTTAGAGCTGAAATGCCGTTGTATTCAATATTCTTTTCTTGACATCTGCTGTGTGCAATTTCACTGCTTTGCAAAGGACCTTAGAGATTATCTACCCCTTCAACATCACAGACCTGGGGAAAGTGAGACCTGGGGTAGTTAAATGATATGCCCAATGTCACTTGTAAGACCTAATTAAAGGCAGGGTTTCAATTAAAACTGAGGTCTCTTACCTCCCAAGAACTGAGTACTTTTTACTAGACCACACCATTGCCTACCTCCAAAGGAACCTTATTAATGAGGAGCACTAAAGTGGGCATTGAGTTCCCTCTGAAACAGAGTGAAAGAAACAAACTTAGGGAGAAAACTGAACAACACAGATGAAAGAAGTCACTGAGAAACACCAACATCAGTGGATCCAATACTCTCTGAATGACTTTCATTAATAAAGAAAAAAACTTGGTTATTCCATGGAAGCTCTTACTTTCAGAAATAGCTAGAAAGACATTATACCTAACCACTAAGGTAACTCTTTCAATGTATGTACCCTCTTGGTTCAGAATTAAAGACTATTACTTTGTCAGTGCTTTAATAAAAATAAATTTACAATAATCATTATAATAATATTAATAATACTAATTTTAATAATAGCTAATATTTATATCAAGTTTTATAATTATTATCTCATTTGATCCACACAACAACCTTGGGAGGTAGGTACTATTATTATTCCCATTTTAGAGTTGAGGAAAATGAGACAGAGATTAAGTGACTTGTCCAGGGTCACACAGAGTTAATAAGTGGCTGAGGCCAGATTTGAATTCAGGTTTTCCTGATTCTGGGGCCAGTACTCTAGCCATTATACCACGTACCTGTGTGAATGTATACATAGAGAACTCTGATATATAGATATAGATATATCCATGTATGTATATACACATGTATATATACACATCTGTATGTGTATATATACACCTATATGTATATATGCAAAAAGCTAGGGCTAGGAAAATTAATAACTTAACAGTCATCCCTCTGGAAAAGTGCTTTTCTGAGTTTATTAACCTAGTCCTTAGAGGAAAAACATAGTGCCTTACTGGATGTGGACTTGAAAACTTTTGAGTCAGTCACACCTGATCAAGCCCAGAAAGCACCGCTAGAAGTGGAGGGGACTCTGATACTGGGACTCAAGCTGTCCATTTTTTAATTAGGAATCATAGACAATAGTAACAGCTTCTAGTTGATGTGGACATTGGTGTGATCTAGGTAACTTATCTGACAAACAGTTTGAATTTGGGTCAGAAGAAAGTATAAATGCAAAGTCACTACTGTATGGGTAAGCAGTATTTGAACCTTTGAAACATGTCTGAAGACTCTCACTGTAGGCTCTCTTCTGCTTACAGCTTAACTATCTTTTTACCCCCACATGACTAGGAGATAGTGATCTGCAAAAAAGATGAGCCGCTTGCTGAAGAATGAAGCATATTATTGATATCTGCATTTTAACATATAATGATGACTATATGCCAGGTTTTTAGCTCAGTTTTATTTCCCTGTTTTCGGAGAATCCTGGGGACTGTAAGAGACATTAAGAGGTCATTTAATGAGATACATTTTGGTAAGAATTTTCTTAACTTGATTCTGATATTTGTTACAAGGCTTTTCTTTTTCTATTTTACTTTCATTTGGTGGAGAGTGGGAAGGAGAGAAAATAAATTCTTGTTGCTCAAAAAAAGTTACATTTAAAAAATTAAAAAGAAAAAATAATTCAATAAATTTAACAGTTTTTTTTAATGCTTAATGTGTAAAAGGCATTAAGTACTATAGTCCCTGTCCTCAAGAGCTTACAGTCTTGGGGGGAAAGAGAGGAAGCCAGAGATAGTGGAGAGAGGGAGGAAAACCTCCCTTCACAACCTTAACAAAAACCATAATGCAATTGCCAAATGATAAAGTGCTTCATAGTGCTCAGGGTGATGCGTGATTTAAGAATAGAGAGAATTTCTAACTGAAAGATAAGAGTAAGCTTCGTGGAAGAGGTCCAGTTAGATCTTGAAGGAGGGGCAGAATTTCAGTGAAGTAGAGATGGGGGTTGAGAGAGAGGATAGAAATCTATGCCAGGGATTATGACCAATGGGCACAAATGCACAAAGACAGGATAGAACAGGGCAAGATCAGAAGAATAGTGAGTAGTCCAGGCTATTTCATCCCCCTACCCTCCTCTTTGTAAAAAAATGAATCAAACGGACTCCAGACTAATGAGGGTCTCTCTGTTTGTATAACCTTCTACACTAACCCATTCTGTAGCAACTCTTCAATCTCTTTACAAATGAGAAAAGGAAAGCAAAGCAAGGTTAGTCAATTGTCCCCAGGACTGAGTGAATCAACCAAAGAAGCATATGGAAATGCATGAGCATTAGAACTCAGAAGTTCTATAGCTTATCTTTCTGATTCTGTAGCTCATTGCCAGTGTTCAATACATGCTAAGATAGATGATGATAATAAGGCACATTTTTCATTCCCAGGCCCATTCTACATCATTTAAACAGGTGTCCTCTCTATGATAAGGCCCACTGCTGCTCTTGCAATAGAATGAGATTGGCCTGAGGCAGCATGGGAAGGCCAAGTCTACATGGCCTCAGTTACCCATTAATCCAAGCTGAAACTAGTGAGAAGGGGCTTTATTTCAAATATTCCAGTAGCTGCTGTTTTGTAGACCTAGACAAAACATTGGAAATTGGACCATTTGTGTATACGTCTTTTTATAAGACTTAATTCTAGATACCACAGAATAATTTTTTCTTTTTTTAAAAGAAAATGTAAATTAAATACTTTATGACTCTCTAAAATAAATAATCTGTTCTAAAGCCTGTAAAACTGTGCCAAGGCCAAAATCCAGTGAATCTCATGTACACTACACTTTCTTTCTCTCCATTTGAGGCATTCTCATAGACAGTATGTCTTTGTTAGTTATGCTGGTGACAATGGGAATGTGGAATTTGGAATGTGGAAAACAATGCAGACAGAAATCATCACCTTTGGAAGGTTCCAGAACTCTTCAAACCCAAAGCAGCCAAGCAGGCTATGGCTGCGCTAAGTCTCCACAATTTGTGGAGTCATTTCCACCAGCCTGTATTGTGTTCCTGGTTTCCACTGATTTATCCCTCTGTTGGCCCTTCCAGGAAAGTACCATTTTTTTCTTCTACCCCCTGCCTCCTATATTTCATTTCATGTGTCTATCGAGGCTATGAAAGATAAAGCTCTCTGCTTTCTCTTGTCCTCAAGTTCTATGTGGAATCAGTTCACCTGTCTGTCACTCCTCATTAAATTCTTACCCTCTTCATTCACATCCTGATCTTTGCAAATGAACATTTGCTTAATAAATGTTCCCAAGACTAACAGTGCCTAGTGAAAATCCCACACAGCAGTAAATTATTAACTCAGTCACAGAGGGAGTGCCATATATGACTTTTCAGAATGAGTTATTATGTGGATCATCATGTAATTATGAATTTTTCAAGCCATGATAGAGGAAAATTGAATATTTAATATTTTATGGACATATTCTACACTGAGGACATCTTTCAAAATTTTATGATAATTTTTAAAGTGAGTGAAGAGCAGAACAAAAGTTACAAAATAATTGCAAAGTTGAATATTTTATCACCACAGACATTGTTGGTTATTTCTCAAATTACATAATATTGTCAAGGCCATGAACTTTTAATCATGGAGTATTCAAATAGAAAAAAAATATGTGCATTAAAATTAATCTACAAATATGTTTTGATTGTTTAAGAGGTGAGACCATGAGGTTTAATATTATTCTTACTAAAGTGTTAGATGTGTAAATATTCACGTAAAAGCCAGGCTGTCCAATCATCCTGAATGGTCTAGCCCACTCAGTCTATTGTTTACACCAACTGTTTTTTCGTGGGCATTTCAAAATGTCTCACTACAAAATTTACTTATATTAAAATAAAGAGTAAGCCCTGAAATATCCATCTAAAATCCTTTTCTAAAAATAAGATAAATAATACAATCGTCATTCCTTTATTTTAACAGATAAGAGGTGTCATGGTATAGGGGATAGGACACTGGCCTTAGAGTCAGAAGGGACTGAGTTCTAATAGCACTACAATCACTTCCTAGCTACGTTACCCAGGGCACGTGTCTTAAAATCTCTGTGCCTCACTTTTCTCATATGGAAAATGAGAAGGTTGGATTTGATGACCTCAAAGATTTCTTCTAGCTCCAAATCTGTGTTGCTATGAATGCAAGAAAAATTTCAAAGCCTTAGTTAACTAAAACAAAACACAAAATCCCTTCTGATCATTTCCTGCTACACTAAATAATAACCTAACATCATCTTTGCAGTCTTTAATAAATCTTTACACAAAATCATGCTTTCATATTCTACCTTACTGGTGAGCAGCTTAGTTAGATACCATTGATGTTTTTTCTTTGAAGAATAGAATGTTTGGTGATTCAGCACCATGTTTAATCAGTCATTTCAATCCCTATGTATGAAGCCCTTTTCTTAGAAGCTACTAATACTCGATTAAAGTCTTTTCTTATGGACATAGTTCTCCATTTGATGGCATTTTGGCAC